TGGTCATTTTGAGACACGGTCTCCCTATAGCTCCAGCTGTCCTGGAACTCACTAAGTAGACCAGGCTGGCCTTGAACTCACAGAGATCCACCTGCCTCTGCCTTCCGAGTGCTGGGATTAAAGGCGTGCACCACCACACCCGGCGTGGAAAAATTATTTTAAAATTAAATAACAATCTCAACCACAGATTCAGCATTGAGGAAGCTTCACTAGCAGAAATGCATGCCTTAAAATGCTTGGGAGAACAACCTCTGCTATTCTGGAGAAATGTCTGGTTCTAGCCTGGCTCTTAAAGATCCCAGTTAAAAACTGGGATTTTACAAGATGATAGTTCAAGGGCTGGAGAGATGGCTCTGTGGTTAAGAGCACTGGCTGTTCTTCTAGATGACCCAGGTTCGATTCCCAACACTCACATAGCAGCTAACAATCATCTGTAACTCCAGTTCAAGGGGATCTGACACCCTCTTCTGGCCTCTGTACTCATGTAGTGCACTTACATATATGGAGGCAAAATGCTCATACAATAAAACAATAAACAGTCATAAAATTAAAATCATAAATGAAATATTTTAAAAAATACAAGATGATAGTTCAATTTGGCCTTGAGGCTAGTCTCCTAGAATCAGGTGATAAGAAAAATGTCCCAAGGAGTTGCTTATATAAGCTTTCAGAGCTAAGATTTCTGGAGGAATAGAAACTAAAGAAATTGGGGGGAAAAAATGAGTATCTCTGTGAAAGGAAAAAATAACTCAAAAATTGTTCTAGTATAATTGATCAAACAAGATAACCACTATGAAGAAATGTTTAATATGCCTATAAAAGAAGTAGCTACTTACATCTAATTGTTCCCTTGTGGGTTCTGGTGATCGATCAGGAATTACTAAATCAGGAGGATCATCAAATGGATCATCTAAAATCACTGTATGATTTATCCTTACAAAACAAACCCAAGTCAAAGGTTACATTTATTTCAGAATTTGCATTTTCATAGATTTTTAACAAATAAGTATTTCTAATGCTCAAAGACTCCACACTATGTACAGGGTATACTAACTTACAGTATACTTTTATAATGAGTGGTACTGTATTTTAGCATTTGACATTATTACTCTGCATTACTTTAAGGTACAAAGTGAGCTGGGCATGGTGGCTAGGGCCTGTAATGCCAGAATTAAGAAGGCTGAGAGAATCATCACCACAGCCTGAGGTCAGCCTGAGTGATATAGTGAGCTCCTGGCAAGTTGGGACAATGAAAAAATTAGTAAATTTCTAAACCTTGGTATTTGTGCCCTATTTCTCAATAATATGCCACCTACAAAACTAAACTGAAGCATTAATAATTCCTGTCAACATCAGCAATCATAAATAATTAGCAAAAGAGTAAAAATATTAAAAAATCCTAGGTGGGCGTGGTGGTGCATGCCTTTAATTCCAGCACTCAGGAGGCAGAGGCAGGCGGATCTTTGTGAGTTCAAGGCCAGCCTGGTCTACATAGTGAGTTCCAGGACAGCTGGAGCTACAGGGAGACTGTGTCTCCAAAAGAGCAAAAAATATATATATGATATATATATATATATATATGATCCTTTTATAAGGATTTCTATGATCCATATTAATTCATATTTTAGAATTATTCAGAAACTAGTTGCAATGGTTAATTTCAATTTTCAACTTGGCAGGGGGTCTGGAAACCTGTGAAAGGAGTCTCAATGAGGGATTATCTAGATTAGATTGGGAATATCTGTGAGGGATTTTCTTAATTGAGTTGACCTTGAAGGTAGAAAACACCAATTCTTTGGCTGGGCCACATAATGATGGAAGGAGAGAGGGAGCCAAGTACAAACATTCACTGCTCTCTGCTTCATTACTGTGAATGCAGTGTAACTAGCTGCCAAGGTCCTGCAGCTACACTTTCCTCTATAACGATGCTTTCGTCATAGCATTTTATTGTAGTAACAAAAAAGAAACCAAGGTACTGGTCTATACATAGTCCCATGCGTGTCACTACATTAAAACATTCTAGTACATTAAAGATAGTAAATTGTAACCACACCTGATATCTTGATATGGTACAAAATCCTTGTCAACAAAGGTCTCATTAATTTTCTTTACTATGTCCATGCCTTCTGTCACCTCCCCAAACACTGTATGAACACCATCAAGGTAATCTAGATTTTCTCCTGTAGTAATAAGAAACTATACAAAAAGGAACATAGTAAATATAAATATATATACATGTAACTCAACCTACAAATCACATAACTATAAAAAATATAAAACTAAGTCTCTAGATTTACAACAGCAATTCTTTTTTTAAAACTTTTTTTTTTCAAATTTTACACACATAGTTCTAAAACTAAATAAAAAATATAGACTGTATTTGTACCAACATGTACATACATGTTTCTTTGATTGTTTAAAGTACTTGAACACTGGGGCCGGAGAGATGGCTCAGTGGTTAAGAGCACTGGCTGCTCTTGCAGAGGACCCTGGTTCTATTCCCAGCACCCACATGGCGGCTAGAACCATCCTTAACTCCAGTTCCAGGGGAATCTGAAGCCCTCTTCTGATCTCCGTGGCATTGCATGACACGGGTGCACTCACATACATGCAGGCAATATACTCATACACATAAAATAAATATATTTTTTAAAAAACAAACAAAAAAATACTTGAACAAACCAAGGTTTTGTTTCTTCATTTGGTAACAGTGGAAAATAAAAGCACGTACCCAATCAAATTAAACAGCACAATACATAAAAGGCACTCAACAGACTCTAGTTTAAAATAACTAATAAATATTGAAGAAAGGAAACGGTCTCAGATGCTAACTGTGATAATAATGGGTGGTGGGACTGTGGGTAATATTCTTTGTACTTTTCTACATTTTCTAAATATGAATATATAAAGACAAGTAGCTGGGCATGGTGGAACATGACTTTACTCCCAGCACTTGGGAGGCAGAGGCAGGTGGATCTCCATACGTTCAAGGCCAGCCTGGTCTACATAGCAAGTTTCAGGGGCTACAGGGAGATCCTGTCTCAAAAAAAAAAAAATAAAGACGTAATAAATATAAATATATATACCTATTTATATGAATAAGTATTATATATAAATAACAGGTTCATTTAAAGTATGCCCTACATTAAGAAAACAAAATAACGAGGGTGTGTGTGTGTGTGTGACAGGAATTGAATCCAGGGTCTTGTGCATGTTTAAGCATATGCTGTACCACTGAGCTACAGCCCTATAACATTTTAATATAGAAAAGAAATAGTCTGGGACTGGAGAGATGGCTCAGCGGTTAAGAGCACTGACTGCTCTTGCAAAGGACCCAGTTTCGATTCCCAGCACCCACATGGCAATGGCAGCTATGAACCATCCTTAACTCCAGTTCCATGGGAATCTGACACCTTCTTCTGACCTCTGAGGCACTGCACAACATGGGTGACACTCACATACATGCAGGCAATATACTCATATACATAAAATATTTTTTTAAAAAAGAGCACTGAGGCTGGGCGTGGTGGCGCACGCCTTTAATCCCAGCACCAGGGAGGCAGAGGCAGGTGGATCTTTGTGAGTTTGAGGCCAGCCTGGTCTACATAGTGAGTTCCAGGACAGCTAGGGCTACAAGGAGACCCTGTCTCAAAAAGACGAAAAAAAATAAAATTAAAAAAAAAAAAAAAGAGCACTGACTGTTCTTGTAGAAAACCCAGGTTCAAATCCCAGCACCCATGTGGCGGCTAACAATTGTCCTTAACTATAGTTCCAGGGAATCCAAAGCCCTCTTCTGTCCTCTGATGGGCACTGTACATGGGGGCACTTTCACACATGTAGGCCTAACACTCATACAAAAAAAAAGAAATAGTCCAATTTTTCCCTAACAAATGTCACTGAGTACATTTCACATTACTGAATAACTTAAAAAGGAACTTCAGCTGGGTGTGGTGGTGCACGCCTTTAGTCTCAGCAGGTGGATCACTGTGAGTTCAAGGCCAGCCTGTACTGCATAGTGAGTTCAGGTCAGCTGGGACTACAGGGAGACCCTGTCTCAGTATTGACAGAAAAAAAAAAAAAAAAAAAAAAAAAAAAAAAAAAAAGAAAGAGAACTTCATAGGTTCTGTCCAGCTCTTCATTTCTAAGCAAAGCTCATCTCCCATTCATTTCCTAACCTGAGATCCATGTTGGTCACTGCCATTGTTCACCATGGACACAGTGCCTTTCTTCTTGTGCTTAATCCTTGGCATTTTTTCTGCTTCAAAAAAGCTTGCTTGATCACCATACAGTTGTCTGAAAGCATAAAATAAAGTTATAAACTTAAGTACTCTCAAAATGAAACACACAGGTATATAATGCTGCAGGAAAGATCAGGCAGGACACTAGGAGTGTATGGGAAGCAAGTTATTTTATCTAGGCTGCAGCCTTGGCCCAGAGAGATTCCTTTCTCAAAGTTCTGAGCCCCAAAGGGAAGTAGCACATATCTTTTATATCTTAGGCACTCAACTACAGTGAGAAGGAAACTTATGGACAGTCTCAAAAATGGGAAAATTATTACAAATTTAGAAAAAAAACAAATGTTAAAAAAAAAATCCTCTGTCTGAAGGTCACTACAGAAGTCTCCATCAAACAGAACTGAGAAAGTTTCATCAGGACACAAAGCAAATGGTTCTAATCACAAACTTGTCAGTTGAAATTTGCTGACAGAGACAAAAGGAGAACATAAGGAATAAAAATCCATACTTTCCTTAAATATTCCATTTAGCTATATCAATAAGACAGTATGATTTTTTTTTCTGTATAGATATGCCACTACGATTCAAAATACTATAGACATTTTGGGAGTTCAGGGAACTATCCTAGAATTACATGAAGATTGACCCACAGCATGGCAATTATATATTTTTTCTTATTTAAGAAAAGGCCAGATGTGGTGGCACATGCCTTTAGTCTCATCACTTAGAAGGCAGAGGCAGGTAGATATAAGTGAGCTCAAGACCAGCCTGGTCTACATAGCAAGTTTCAGGCTAGCCAGGGCTGCATAGTAAGATCTTGTGCTTGCCACTTCAAGGCTGAAGACTTAAGTTTCATCCCCAGAACACACATGGTAGGAGTAAACAGACTTCCATAAGTTGCCCTTGAGCTCCACACATGGATGTGTACCCATATATACACACACACACACACACACACACACACACACACACACACAAATTAAATAAACTGAGTGAAACACGGGGCAGTCATACCAATAATCCCAGCACTTGGGAGGCTCAGGCAGCAGGACTGCAGCAAGTCTGAAGCCAGCCTGGACTACAGAGTGAGATCTTGTCTCATAAAATGGAATAAGAACTGTGGTGAGCATGGTGGGGTACATCTGTAATACTAGCACTCGGGAGGCTGAGGTCAGCATAGACTACATAGTAAGTACCTGGCTAGCCTGGGCTACAAAGACCCTATCTCAAAAGCAAAACAATGAAGAGCAGATAAATAAATGAAATAGGGGCAGGGGATAAAGCTTAATTGGCAGAGTGCTTGTCTAGCATGCACAAAACCCTGGGTTTGATCCCCAGCATTGCATAAAACCAGGCATAGTGGTACATGTCTCTAATGTTAGCACTTGGGAGGTGGTGGCAGGAAGATCAGGAGCTCAAAGTCATTCTCAGCTAAATAAAGATGGAGTGCAAAGTGAGCTTGAGCTACACGAGACCGTCTCTAAATACATACATACAGAAGAACTTACCCAAATATAGACTCTCCTCCACGGCCAGTCCCTGTAGGATCACCTGTCTGTATGATAAAATCCCTCTATAATATACAGAATTCTTTGTTAATTCACAGAGTTTGCTAGATGATCCCAATAACAAAAAGCATGACTAGTATCCACCAACTCACCTGTACATTGTGAATAAGGCAATAATTATAATACTTTATTTTGCACAGCTTCAGGAAATTCAAGCAAGCTGAAAAAAAGTAAAAACTAAATTACAAGAAAGCAGTAATTCAATTTCAAGCAAGTTTGTAAAAGCATAGTTAGTAAAATTTAACTCCTAAATGATTATTAGAAGAAAAAGGGTCCAGTGGGATGGCTTAGTAGGTAAGGGCACTTGCCACCAAGCCTGATAATCTGAGCTCTTTCCCTGGAACCCACATGATAGAAGGAGAGAACTTACTCCTACAAGTTGTCCTCTGACCTCCACATGCACACTGTGGCACATGCTCATCCACACTCATACACATACAAAATAAGTGGGGGGGGATCAAACAAAAAATACTAACAGTTCAAGTCCAAAGTCATTAAAAGGCAACTTACTTTACTAAATATTCATGCTGTCAAATTGTCTTGTAAATATTTATGTTTATATCCATAGACTTGGGCTGCTCTTTATTAAAATTTATTTTTTATGTTATGAGTGTTGTCTATGCATGTATATATAAGTACTGTGTGCCTGCCTGGTGCCCCTGGAGGCCAGAAGGGGGCAATGGGTCCCCTGGAACTGCAATTATAAACAGTTGTGAGGTACCATGTAGGTGCTTGGAAACAAACCTGGGTCCTCTACAAGAGCAACAAGTGCTCTTAACTGCTGAGCCATCTCTCCAGCCCTTGGGCTGCTCTTAACCTTGATCAGAGATGTTTCTTTTTGCAGTGGGCAACAGTCGATGCAGAAACTCATAGCTGGCTAAAGTACTGAGAATAAGAGACTGAGTGCTCACCCTAAATAGGATATCTTTATCACACTACATACACAGCAAGACTCGTAGAACATCAAGGAAGAAGAGGCAGATAGGATGTAAGAGCAAGAGGATGGGGAGGAGTGCTGTGAAATGCTGTCTTCTGGACATAACTACTGCACTCATTAATTCATAGCAGGAGCAGATATCTACACAAGACCTGCATAAGATCAATCCAGCCAAAATTCTAGCACGGATGGGGAAGGTGCTCTCTAGGTCCTGCACCTTACTGAGCAGCTATTGGCAGGTGGTAGCTGCTGGGAAGGGAGAGTAATTCTTTTTAGAGGGTGTGGCCATTGATAGGTTTCCAAAGCTCTAATGAATGGCATTACATCAATGTACATATGGGCAGCACCAACTGGACTTGGTGGGTTATCAAAAAGAGGAAGAGGAGGAGGAGAATGTGAGGTTGAGAGGGAGGTTGAGTGAGGTTGAGTTATGGAGGGAGCTGGAGGGGAAAAACGAGAGGGTGTGTACCATCATATTCCATTGTATAATATACATGTATAGAATTCTCAAGAATAAAGAAAAATTAAAATTACTTGCAAAATAAAAAGTCAACATATTTTAAATTACCATTTTCTTATAGCTTTTTGGACATCTCAGATAATTATTTATTTATGAATTGGCTTTTAAAAGAAAAAACATAGGATGCTATGATAACAAAGAAATCTAGCAGAGTATAAAAGTGAGTGCAGATTACACAGGGCCCTCTTTTTTTTTTTAATGCAATTAGTAAAAAGTACTTCATAGACTGGAGATGTAGCTCAGTGGTAGAGTAATAACCAAGCATTCATCAGGCCTTGGGTCCAATCCCTAACAACATACACACATACACACACACACACACACACACACACACGACTTTGCAAAAACTCATACTTACCATGAACAAGTGTCTCACATTAGTTTAAGTGTCTCACATAAACTAATGTGTATATCTAACAAATATTTACTGTGTGGTTTGTAAATGCTTGGCACTGCCATCACAAATGTCATTCAACTGTGTGTTCCTGCCCTCAAAGAATTCATAGCCTAACTATGGGAACATAAGCCAACAAGTTATTAAGGCACCAAGAAACCAGACAGATAGTAAACTATATGAAGCTCCTTGCCCTCAAGAAACTTAACAGTCATGAAACTAGGGTCCTAACAAGGCATGGTGGCACATGCCTGAGGAGAATCAAGAGAATCATGTGTTCAAGGTCAGTCTGGCTACACAGTAAGACAGTCTCAAAAACAGACAGACAAGGAATAACAATACAACTAGAATCACACAAAATAGTGATAACACTAGGTATATATAATGCTATTTATGCCACTTAAATAGTAGAAGGGGGGAAGGTAGTAAAAAATACTATAAAAGTTATAGCTGAGGAAATCAGAAAACTGTACAGTCTTAAGGTAAACATTAAAAGAATTGCTTTTATCAAATCATAACAAGGCACACCATAAATGTGTACAATCCTATATACCAATTAAAATATTTTGTTATTGTTATTTTTATGTGTATGAGTGTATTGCCTGCATCTATGTGAGTGCACCCATGTTGTGCAATGCCATGGAAGTCAGAACTGGGCTTCGGATTCCCCTGGAGTTAAGGATGGTTTGTAGCCGCCATGTGGGTACTGGGAATCGAACCCAGGACCTCTGCAAGAGCAGTCAGTGCTCTTAACTTCTGAGCCATCTCTCCAGCCCCCTTATGTACCAATTTAAAATAACTATTATAAAAAAAGATAATGTGGGGGTCAACAAGATGGTTCAGTGAATAAGGGCATTCGCTACCATGTCTGATAATCTGAGTTCAATTCCAGGAACCCAGGTAGTGGAAGAAAAGAACAGAGTCCCAAAAGTCCCCTGACCTCTAAAGGAGTGCTATGACTATTCAAGATCATACACACACACACACACACACCTACCTCTAAAGGAGTGCTATGACTATTCAAGATCATATACACACACACACACACACACGAATACACATAAATAATAATAATAATAATAATAATAATAATAATAATAATAATAATAATAATAATAATAATAATAATAATAATAATAAATGCTTTTTTACAAGATGAAAGAGCTCCAAAAGAAAAAAAAAGATGAAAACTGAAATGGCAGGGAATAACAAATGAAAAAGACTGGGGGCTAGGGGAGGGGCATACCCAGTTTAGTGGTAGGGTGTTTTGCATGCAAAAGGATCCAAGTTAGATCCCGTCCCAGACATGTGTCACCATACCTAGTTTCCATTACAGGATTTTTTTTAGTCATTTTTTTTAAAAAAAAAAATTTTTTTTTATTATTTTTATTTATATGTATGTGTGTATTGCCTGCATGTAGGTAAGTGCACCCGTGTCATGCAATGCCCGGGGAGGACAGAAGAGACTGTTGGATCCCATGGAACTGGAGTTACAGACAGTTATTAGCTGCCATATGGGTGCTGGGCTTCGAACCCGGGTCTTCTGCAAGAACAGTCAGTGTTCTTAACCGCTGAGCTCTCTCTCCAGCCCCAAGTCATTTTCTTTTTATAGATACACACTGAGGTAACTTCAGATTAAACAAATCCAGTGCAGTAGGAGTGTTGTAAATGAAACAAGATTATGTGTTGACAACTAGTAATGAAGCTGGTTATGGGTACTTATGACTTTATGTAACCAATTCTCTTCTGTATGTTTTAAGTTTTTAGTAATACAAAGTTTTTAATAAGGAAGGTAATTCTGGACATGCTTACTATGTATTGGTAAGGATAAAAATAACTAAATGCAGGCTGGAGAGATGGCTCTGCAGTTAAGAATACTAACTGTTCTTGCAGAAGATGTGGGTTCAAATCCCAGCACCCACATTTGCACAAAATACCTGCTTTTGTAGAAATGCTGAGTGTTTAGATTTCCTATACTATCCTAAGGATGAAACATTATTTTTCCTCAGAACATTTTTTTTTTTTTTTTTTTTTTTGAGACAGGGTCTCTCAGTAGCCCCAGGTGTCCTGGAACCCACTATGTAGACCAGGCTGGCCTTGAACTCACAAAGATCCGCCTGTCTCTGCCTCCCAAGTGCTGGGATTAAAGGCAAGCACCACCACGCCCGGCATAAAATGCTTTTTAAAGAACCAAATAACACCAGGACTGGTGGCTCACACCTTTAATCCCAGCAACTGGGAGGCAGAGGCAGGCGGATTTCTGTGAGTTCATAGTTCCAGGCCAGCTGGGACTACAGGGAGACCCTGTCTCAAAAACCCCAAAAAAAAAAAAAAAAACAAAAAAAAACCCCACCAAATAACTAGATGCCAGTCACTATCTTTCAAATACATACACACTAATACGTATGTTTTTGGTGTTTCAAGCATTCTTGGCAGAAACCACAACTTGCTAATTATGTGTGATACCCTTATCTCTTCTTTAGAACTGCACTCTTGGTTTTTTCCATTCATTATGTAAGATGCTGCCTCTATATGGAGAGTGTCAAAGGAGATCAAGGAAAAAGAAAAGCAAAACCAAGAGATTAAAAGGGCAATTCCCAGGACAGCATTTGAACCCCTGGATCCAGCCACCATTAAACATCCAAGCTTATTCCAGGAACATAAAGCAATTAATTGAGTATTCTAAGCTGGCTTGAGTTACATTTCTACCACTTGACAGTGTACTAACACAACACATTCATATGCATTACTCACTGTACAGAACCACTGGAGTGTGTCCTCAAGGCGGCAGACGTTGTACTCAGTTCTTCAGATAAAGGAGATATTAAGATACAGTTCCCTCTCTCCATGCAGCACCGAGAGGAGACAGATGGTGCAAATAGTTCCAGGACAGTAAGTACGTTCTAATAAAATGAGTGTCATGTGATATATAAAACCACCAGAGAGAAAGAAAGCAGATTTTCTTTTTTGAGACAGGGTCTCCGTGTGGCCTGGCCCTGCCTGGAACTGGCACTACTTAAGTAGATCAGGCTGGCCTCGATCTCACAAATCCACGTGCCTATGCTTCCCAAGTGCTGGGAATGGACCCCCATACCCAGGGATCGACTTGACTTAGGATCAAGGAAGCTGGCGCTACAAAAGAGATATCCTTTATTTGATATCTGAACAGGCACAAGTTCCCAAAAAGAGAGGAACCGGGGCAGTGGCAACAGTAGGAGAATGGCAGACTGCAAGAGCTCCAAGTGAAGTGTTTGGCGGTGGAGAGGGGACTTTAGCTGAGAGTGGGAGAAGGAGCAGTGTGGCCCGAGGCCTGGGGCAGGCAACCTTAACGAATCTCTCCTGGTTTCCTGCTTCTCCCAAAGGAGAAATCCCACACAAAGCTGCCTATGATCTTTCCAAGGCCAGTGTGTCATGCTATACCCTAAAACCTTCCAATTCTCTAATAAACAAAGCACACACAGCTACTCAGGACCTGACCTAACAGTATCTGATCCGACTCAGTTTGCTTGTAGCTCCACTCCACGTACCAGTTCCTCCCTTCCAGTCACAACAAATGTCTTATTTCCAGAAAACTCTCCAAGCAGACTGGGGGGGGGGGCTTAATTCCCACTCATCTCTGAAAAAAACAGTTTGCTTGCTTCGCTTGTCCCTACCTCTACCAGGGAAGACACTCCCTTCTCCGGTTTCCATAACGACCTAGTCTTCTACTACGACACAGAATTAAAATGGGCGTCCCCGCTCCGTTCTCCCTCCGCGGAAAAGCAAATTCTAAAACCTAAGACGCCTAAACTCCAGCTTAGCCTGGTGCCTTGTGGGTTCTGTCCACACTGCAGATGCCAGATGTCAGGGAACCAGGAGGCATGCGATGTCCAGGCTCCTTAAGGCCAGGTGCATCCTCCCTGCCAGCATGATGACACCCCACGCCATCTTCACCGTGTCCCTCTCACGAGTGAGGACAGCGGAGCCACAAGAGTCCGGGCACCGCACGCCCAGCGACCCCACCCATCCCCGTACGCCCAGGGCTTTCCTCAGAGGCCACAGCGGGACCCCGCGCAAACTGCCAATACAAGACAGGAAGACCTGCTGCCTGAGCTCAAACGACACACAAAAAGCCAACTCTTCTACCCAAGGCCCGCTTTGGAAGCAGCGGGCTCGAGCCAGGGGCAGAGCAGGAGAGGGAGCGCCGGGAAGCGGGTCGGCGGCCCCGCCAGGGCAAGGGGGCGCGGGCCTTACCGCGCGGCCGCTCCTCGGTGTACAAGTCAATGACGATGTCTCCCAGTGTGGTCTCCAATAGAACCGCCATGGCGCCGCCTCCTTCGCAGGAACTACTAGAGGAGTGACTGACAGACGGTACCCGTCCGCATCTAAGCCTCCCGTCACGTTCCGCGCGACGAGTGTTGCGTCATCCGCGGGCGCCGCCAGAGCGGGCAACTTTTGAGAGACCTGGCAAGGGGCTTGGCCTGGGCCACCCCGCTGATATCCGGTTCCGGTTGGTCCTACAGCGTGGACGGCCATTTTGAAGGTGCTGCTGCGTCTTGGTGGCTTGCTTAAAGGCCTACTGCTCGGAAGGGTCACTCTGTAGGACTTTCGGACCTGTCCCAGAGCAGAGTGGTTCCAAGCCCGCAGCGCGTCCTTCCTGCACCTTACTAGGAGGAGGCCCGCGGGTTTCCATAGTCTGAGCGCTCCGTCAGCAACACCAGCCCAGAGGCTCACTGTTTGTTACTTGGAAAGGTGATTAACAAGATTGGGGTTTTGGCTTTGTTTTCTTGAAGCTTCTGTGTAGAGCAGGACAGTATAAGTTTGAGCAACACATGGACAGTTTATGCGGGGGGGTGGGAGCGGGGGGGGGCTGCTGACTGCAGTAGGCTTCAGGCTTAATTTCCTTTGGAAAAAACCTTTAGTTATTTTAAAAAAAATTTTTGGTGGGCTGGAGAGATGGCTCAGTGGTTAAGAGTCCTGGCTGTTCTTGCCGTGGACCCGGCTTCTGTTCCCAGCACCCATATGGCGGCTAACAACCATCCGTAACTCCAGTTCCAGGGGATCTAACGCCCTCTTCTGACTTCCGCGGACATTGCATGATTCGGGTGCACTTACATGCAGGCAGTACACTCATACACAAAATAAAAATAATAAACTATTTAACTATTTTTTGTAACCGGGCGTGGTAGCACAGTAGCGCATGCCTATAATTCCAGCACTCGGTAGGCAGAGGCAGGTGGATCTCTCTGAGTTCGAGGCCAGCCTGGTCTACACGGTTCAGGTCAGCTGGGGCTACAGAGAGACTCTGTCCCAAAAAGACAAAAAAAAAATTTTTTTTGTGGGAGGAGGTGTGTGTGTGTGTGTGTGTGTGTGTGTGTGTGTGAGTGTGTAGGTAAGAGGACAACCTGTAGGAGTTCTCTTCTTCCACCATGTGGGTCATGGGCTGGAACTCAGGTCCTTAGGCCACAGAACTTACTAACATTCTAACTTGGAAGACTTAATGATCAAATCTTGGTCTCCATTGAGATGTTTGGACCCTAATAACATTTTTCCATACAAAATTTCACACTTCTCTAGACAATCTGTTGCTTTCTTTTATCCCTGTTGCTTTCTTTTATACCGTTTTAATGCATACTTGATGTGACAATCTAGAATGTGTATGATGTACAGATCTTAGGCATGTCCAAGTAGGCAAAGAGATATAGATAAAAGGTTTTGTAGAGTTCTTTAAGGTTAAAAAAAAAAAATGTCTTAATTTTGTTTGAAACAATTCCTTGGCTAGAAGTGTTACCAAGCATGCAACTCCACAAATATGCCATAATAATTTCCCTGTATTCCAAACAAATTAGGAAACAGAACTTGGTAAAAGGAAAATGGGTTTATTTAGTTTGGCCAATTTTGGAAGGGTGTAATTCCCCAATCCCTGCACCATAGCCGTCTTGTAATTTATAGTGTAATGGGAAGTGCCACTTTCAAGTCAGGCGAGTTCTAATTCTGAGCCCCAGGCAGCAGTCTTTTCCATATTTATGGACAACCTCTCAGGATAGATCACCCTCCAAATGAGGATAGTTATCCAGGCCACACACTGGAGAAGTGAACATGTTGTAGGAATGAGATTGAGCTCTTCAGGTTGGTGAGGGCTCTAAGGGTAAAGGTCCTTGCCACCAAGCCTGACAACCTGACTGAGCACCAGAAACGACATGGTAGAAGTGAACCAACTCCTACAGGCTGTCTTCTGACCTCCACATACATACATACATGCATACACATATGCAATAAATAGATTTTTTTTTAAAGCCTTTCTTGAGGATGACAGAAATTGAGAACTTTGAGGAGAGGGGCTGGAGATGTTATCCAGTTAGTAGAGTGCTTGCCTAGCTTGCCTGAAGCTCTGGGTTGGGTCTCTAGTACCACATAAACCAAGAATGGTGGCACATGCCTGTAATTCTAGCAGTCAGGGTATAGAAGCAAGAGGATTAGTTTGAGATCCTCCTCAGCTATGTAGCAAGTTAAAGGCTAGCCTGGGATACATGAGACCCTGCTCAAAAACAATGAAACATTTGAATCAGATCTGCATAACATTCAGTGAGCTGAAAACTTGGTAGAAATCAAAGTATGTACAGGAGTTTCTCACAGGCGTTTGAGCACATACAACATTGGCAAGAGCTGCAGAGCAGGGCCAGCATTTGTAAACAGAGTCCTGAAGGAATTGGCAGAGGTATGACCAGACCTGAGAATCTACTGATGAAACACTATCCATGGACTAGAACAGCGTTGGTAATCTGATCATCCAAAGTAAGCCTCAGGAGAGTGACTGCCTATTATAGAGGAAGTCCCAGTGGTGAGCCGGTTCTAGGAGCCAGGGACAGAATATGAGAATCTAGATGAAACCACCTATCAGGTCAGTCACGTTTTATGTCCTATGTCTCCAACCAGCTCTTTTCCCCTCCACATTTTTATTTAATATGCAGTGTCATTTTAGGAGGCCAGCTCTGCCCCACTGTGTTTTTGCCCTAGATTGTTTTCACCCTCCCCCTCTCTCATTTCTTTTACTTTTTCCTCTCCCTAAGAACATAGTCTGGTCTGGTTTGCAGGGTCTCTGTGCCTTGGCCTCTAGAGAGAGAGAGGACTGTTATGTTATCTGATAGTATATCTTTACTTCTCTTTCTTCATTCTACTTTTAGCCAAAATTCCCTCACCCTCCCCTGCACTGTTTTTTGCCCTTACACTTCCCCCTTCTATTTATGTTCCTCTCTACTTTGTCTCTCTTATCCCAGTACTAATTGCTAGTCTAGTTTATCTTTTTTACTTCCTACTCATACCCACAATAAGTACATCAGTGTACTACTATAGTGTACATCAGTGTTCCTTTACTGTATAAAACAGCACTTATGGGTGATTGTTTTGTGTTGACTGTTATTCTATCTTCATTTTGGGTCTACCCCTGCATAATGATTGTTTTTGCAGACAGTAATCTACTCATAGGAGTACTGGGGATAGAGCCTGGTGTCCTGAACATCAGTCTGACAGATGCAAGCAACTCTGAACCCTCCTACAACTTAGTCCCTCACAAACATTGCAGAAACTTCCATTAAAGAAGAAATGTAAACCACTTACACAATCCATTTCCTGATACACACATCCCAATGCAAAAACACATGTATAAAGAAAAGTCAAGACAATGTGTCTCTTCCAAAATCTACAAATCCCAGGGGAATAGCTCCTAATGAGACTGATTTAAATTACAGATAAGAATTCAGAGAATTATACTATATGATCAGATAAATGAAAGAGACGTGAATATATTCCTAAATGAATTCCAAGAGAATATACAAACAACTGAATGAGAAAATAAAGTCAATGTAAAATATGAAAATGGAATTCAGTAAGGAGAAATACTGAAGAAAAAGATGCTGAAATGAAAAATTCAGTTAGTCAAATAAAAGCTCAGTGGAAAGAATGAATTATGGGGAGGACAGAATTACAGCCTGAAGACAAGGGTAGAGGAATTGGTATATCCAGTCAAAGATAACGAAAAAATTTCAGAATGTATGAATGGAACATGGAATATCTATGGGACACCATGAAAAGATCAAAGCTACAAATTAAAGATAGAAGGAAAATCCATGACAACAAATCATAGAAGAAAATTTCCCAAATCTAAGGAAAGAGAGATACCCAAATTCCAAGTTCAAGAGGCATACGGAACATCACATAGAACTAGAAAATAAACCATCATACTAAAAATGCTAAATATACAAAAAAGAAAAAGTGTATTGAGAACTGCAAGAGAGAATACTAGCAAGTCACATAATAAAGGCAGGCCTGTCAGAATAACAGCTGATCTCACAATAGAAGCATTTAAAGTCTAAAGGATATGAAATGACAAACTTCAAGTTCTGAAAGATCACAGCTGCCAACCCAGACTACTATACCCAGCAAAACTGTCATAATTGATGGAGAAACAAACAGTCCATGATAAAAGTAGCCTAAGTGAATTTATGACTACCAAACTAGCTCTACAGAGGATACTAGAAGGAATTCTTCAGACAGCTGGGAATGTTGAAGAAGCTACAGGAAAAAATAAATTAGTTAAATAAATAAAAGATGCTATGATAGTAGTTAAAGAAATGAGCGTTAGGAAAACACCAAACAGCTGGACATGCTGGGGCACGTCTTTAATCTCAACACTCAGGAGGCAGAGGCAGCAGATCTCTGTGAGGCCATCCTGGTCTACATAGAGTTCAAGCTGGGACTACAGGGAGACCCTGTCTCAAAAAGACAAAAGAAAAAAAAAAAAAAAAGGAAACTGGCCAGGGGGGGGGGGGCACGCCTTTAATCCCAGCACTTGGGAGGCAGAGGCAGGTGGGTCTTTGTGAGTTTGAGGCCAGCCTGGTCTACATAGTTCCAGGACAGCTGGGGCTACAAGGAGACCCTGTCTCAAAAACACACACACACAAAAAAAGAAACCACGAAACACTATAAAACTAACAAAATGATAATGATAACAACAATTAATGCACACCTTCAGTAACCATTCTAAATTTTCATGGTCTCAGTTCCCCAATCAAAAAGACACAGACTAGCCGGGTGTGGTGGTGCATGCCTTTGATCTCAGTACTTGGGAGGCAGAGGCAGGCACATCTCTGTAAGTTCAAGGCCAGCCTGGTCTACATAGTGAGTTCCAGGACAGCTGGGGCTACAGGGAGACCTTGTTTCAAAACAAAACAAAAACCCACAGACTAGGAGATTGCATTTAAAACAACAAAATCCATCTATTTGCTACCTCTGAAAACACACCTCACGGTATACTCTATCTGCCAGTGGCACATCTTCTTTTAATGTTGGTACTCTGGAGGCAGAGGCAGGCACATGTCTGCGAGATGGAGGCCAGTCTACTCTATAAACTGAGTTCCAGGCCAGCC